TTTTTTTTTTTCMTTGTAGAAAATATCTCCTCAGCAGGTTACAGACAATCAGCTGGGAACAGAAGTCCCAGCAAGTGGTTTCCATGGTTCAAGTCAGAGTGTGACAAAATGATGGTGTTTGTCCACAAGTCTCTCTCTCTCCACTGAATTCACCGCATGTTTTGTAAGATATTCCTAAAGTTTTCCAGTTCTTTCACGCTGGTTGAAAYCCTGGGTGCAAGGAAAAAGCAAAAKGGAAATGTTACAGCAACATCCTGGTCGTGAATTATTTAAAATCTGGGAGAAAGGGGCTGTATCAAGGAAAGATTCAAGCAGCTCTCGAGAAGAGAGGATTTGGAATTCCAGTTAAATTAGGTTGAGGTTACAGCCAGGCCCTTCACTAATTCCCCTGCTTCTTTTTAAAGCAAACACTGGGAATCACAGTGGAACAGGATGTTAAGGAATTCATCCTTGGAAAAACCTGTTTGCCAGAAACTCATGGTCTCTGAGCATCACAAAGAGCTCGTGGATAACAAGAGTGTCCTGAAATCCCCTCCTAAAGGCCTCATTATCCTCCTTTTCTGACAAAAACTCCTCATCCAGAGAGGCTGGACTGATGGTTTCCAGTTAAATGCAATCATTATCTGGGACTGAACTGGTGGAAGGGAACAACCTGAAGGAGAGGCCTAAAAAAGCATCCTTGCCTCTGACAATGTGCTTTGAGGATAGTCACACAGTCCCTTAAAAATTAATAAATTTCTTTGTATCTTAGCATAAATGCTTCCTTGAATTCCTCACAGAAATGTACAGAAATGTATAAAGAATATTTTAAATTATTCCAAGTGTTTCACTTCGCATTAATAGCACCTGATATCAGTAAAGCAAGAGTTACCACCAAAACTGGGAAGACCTGAGTGAAATGAGAGCTGAAATTGGATGTAATAACACAGCAGCATTTGTGAAAATAGAGAAAAGTCTCAACCTCACCTTCCAAAGGCATTAAATAAGGCCACGATTTCTTGTCTGGTCAGCTGGAAGCCATAGGAAGGGCCACTCTCGGGAATCCTTTCGATGAGGTTYTCTGAGAAGAGGATCTTGAGTGCTGTGCCCAAGCCCTGTGTCTGTGCAGGGATCACACAGGGTCAGTGAACAGCAACTCCAACTCCTCTCCAGGGCAACATCGTTTAACACGGCAAGAGGATTTCATTTCACCCAGGCTCTTGGGTTAAAGGAAACTTTATCCCAGTTCCCACAGGCTGAAAAAACTGGAATCAGCTGCTGTCCCAGGACCAAACCCACACCTGACAAATCTCACCTGCAGCTTCCCCCACAGCCGACACTTGAAGCAGCCAACACAGTCCATGATCTTGGAAATATTCTTAAAGTGCAGCCTAAATTCCTCCTGGGGAAAAAAAACGTTCATGTGGGTCATGGTTCTGCATTAATTAGGGCTCCTTCCAGGTATTAATCCAAATTAATCCTGGAATTTTGTGGGGTTTAGGTAGGGGAAAGCCTCCTGCAGTGGGGTTTCTGGCAGCAATTACCTTTAGTTTAGCAGCTTCCTTTTTGTTCCCTGCAAAGAAGGAGTTTTCATCGAAATGCAGCGGGAAGGACCTGGAAGGGGATGATGAGAGTTTGATTTGTGCCCAGGTTGGTTGTGTGGCTGCAGGCAGGGGTGGGCAGAAACAGAGGGGCGAGCTACTGGACATCTCCAGACGTGTTTGAATCTTACATCCAACCCCAAGGAATGGAATGAGATGATTTAAGGTTCCTTCCAACCCAAACCACCCTGGGATTCTATTATCTCCTCCAATTTGAGCTGGCATCTCACCTCGGAGACATTTTCAGCAATTGCTTGATGGTTTTTAAAGCAATTTCAGTCTGTTTTTGACAGACAGAATCACAGGAGGGTGACAAGATAAATCAAACATGGATCACTTTAGGAGACACCCTTTTCTGTCTGATTCCAATACCTTCCATTCCTTTTACTCCAAACTCCATCCAACAGCCCAAACCTTGTTACCAAGATATTTAGGATGTTTTTCTAGTCACAAACACGAAGCCAGGCCTGGTATCCCACAGATGACTCACACAGGTAGCCAATTTTAGGGCTGACACGTAGGCAGTTATTAAATTCAATTCTAAATCCAAAAGGCAGCCGAGGCTATTAAACTGTGGGACTAATTACCCAAATTCTGCAATTTGCATACAGATATCCATGCTCTCCCAGCACTACTGGTACTATGTCCCTACTCATTGCAAGGGAGCTGGGCTGGATGACCCTAAAAATGTTTTTCCAACCCAAACCATGCCAYGTTTCTATGATTCTACYRCAYCAATCACTCCAGGAAGGAACCCAGAACCTTTCTAGGAGCTTTATGTGACAGCACACTCAGAGCTGCTGCCAGAGCCACTGTCCCCAGGTACTGAGTGCAATTACTTGGCCAGATGGAGGATTTCCAGCAGCAGGTGTTTCATTTCGGTGTCCTGGCTCTTATTCCCGGTGTACAGCTGGAAACCCGGGCGCTCAAAGAAGGGCAGCACTTTGGAGAGAGCCCTCAGCTCGATCAGGTACAGGAAATAAAGGTTCTTGAGTCTCCTGGGTCCTTCTCCTCTGGTGAGGACTTCATCAAACCTCTGCTGGAACTCGGTGACGTTGGGGCCCCATTTTTTCTCTGACCACGTGTCTGAGACAGAAAAAAAAACCCCAAAGGCGTAAGGTGCTTGGGTTTAGTTCTGGTTCATCTCCTCCCTCCAGAAAAGTGGTGAAATGTGGTTCCAGCCAGGGAGATCCCAGCTTTCCAAACCCACAGAAGGTAGAAAAGATCTCCAAGATCATTGAGTCCAACCTTTGAGTGCCACATCCAGTGGTTCCCTGAACCTCCAGGGATGGTGATTCTACCACCACCCTGGGCACCCCCTTCCAATGCCTGAAAACCTTTCCAGTGAAAAAATTTTGCCTGAAAATTGTTCAAGGGAGGCAGGATTTTAACTGAACTCAGCCCCCAGCAAACACAAAACTCCTGCAGACTTTTCTCAAATAATTCCTGAGTCTTCCTCATAAACAGGGACATCTTAAGAGAATTCCTGATGATATGAAAAAGCAACAGAACAACCATGGAGTGGAGGAGACTGGCCTTTACTTTCCATTTTTTTCAAGCCCACAAAGGATATTTCTGTTGCTTATCCTACCCTGTGTTTAAGATTATTATATAAAATATGTAGTGAAAAATATAAAACTCACATCAAGCTGATGCTGCAGCCCCAACTTATCTCTTGCTTCTGATGTTTCCCACATTATCCCATCTCCCAACATGGCCAAACTCACATCGAGGTGAGGCCCACGTGGGCTGTAAAAACTTCAATGCAATTATTTAGGTCAGTCTAAATGACTTATCCAAATTCCCA